GTGAACCATCATTTTCAATTGTCAATTTTATAAAACTAAATAGAGATCGAGCATTTACTTGGAAATTGTGAATTGAGATATGCTGGAAGTATATGAGTATGAAAGAGTATGTAAGATATCTAATTACTGATTTTTGTGTGTGTGTGACACATTTTTTTGTGTGTGTGACACAAGTATATAAGATATCTAATTACTGATTTGTGTGTGTGCGTGTGACAGAGTCTCCCAAAATCTCGGCTCACTGCAACGTCCGCCTCCTGGGCTCCAGTATTCTCATGCCTCAGCCTCCTGAGTAGCTGGGACTACAGGCACCCACCACCATGCCGAGCTAATTTTTAGTAGAGATGGGGTTTCACCATGTTGGCCAGGCTGGTCTTGAACTCCTGATCTCAGATGATCCACTCCCCTCAGCCTCCCAAACTCCTGGGATTACAGGCGTAAGCCACAGTGCCTGGCCTCATTACTGATTTTTAAAATACTGATTACATGCTGGAACGATAAAATTTTGTATGTACTAGGTTGAATAAATATGTTGTTGAAAATGATTTTTTTTCTTTTTAACTAGAAAATGTAGAATTATGTGTGTGGCTCCCATTCTGTTTCTGTTGAACAGCTGCTCTAGAAGTAGATGTAAGGGATAGAGAAAATGGTGGGGAAGAGGCCTTCAAGTGAACTCAGTTTCTGATGAATTTTGGAGACCAAGGGGACCTTAGGGTCAATCCAGGACAGTCAGGGCTTTAAAATAATTAAACAGGATGGTGGCCCCAGTTGCCACTGCCATCCACCCAACTCCTCAAATACCCAAGATGTGCAAGGGAACTGTGGAACAGACAGGTTAAACAAATGTGATTAATTCAGTATGGAAAAAAGACGCCCACCTGGTGACAGAGGTTGCTAACCATCTATCCATAAACCCAGTGTCCACCTCCTGGGTGCCAGCGTCAAGTTGGGTGTGTTTGTCAGTCAACAGCCCTTAACAGCCACCAGGTACCATCCAAAAAACTGTACCACCTCTTGTCATTCTCCTAAATTAAAAACTCTGCTGACTGCCGGGTGCGGTGGCTCACGCCTGTAATTCCAGCACTTTGGGAGGGCAAGGCGGGCGGATCACCTGAGGTTGGGGGTTCGAGACCAGCCTGACCAACATGGAGAAACCCATCTCTACTAAAAAATTAGCCTATAATCCCAGCTACTCAGGAGGCTGAGGTAGGAGAATCATTTGAACCCGGGAGGCAGAGGTTGCAGTGAGCCGAAACTGCGCCACTGCACTCCAGCCTGGTGACAGAGCGAGACTCCGTCTCAAAAAAAAAAAAAACAGAAAAAACAACTTTGCTGACACCCCATGCTGTCCACACAGGCAGGGGTGGAAGCCCAACACGCAGCAGCTCAGGTAGTGCACAGAAGCCAAGTAATACATGTCTGCTTTCCTAGAGGGGGTCTAAGGACCATCATGGCCACACTTGCCTATTTTTCCAGAGATGCTGGGAAATCCATTTTATTTTTTATTTTTATTTATTATAATTATTTTTTGAGATAGATTCTTGCTCTGTCACCCAGGCTGGAGTGCAGTGGGCGATCTTGGCTCAATGCAACCTCCGCCTCCCGGGTTCAAGTGATTCTCCTGCCTCAACCTCCCGAGTAGCTGGGATTACAGGCACGCGACACCACGCCCGGCTAACATTTCTTTCTTTCTTCTTTTTCTACTTCTTTTTTTTTTTGTATTTTTCAGTAGAGACAGTGTTTCACCATGTTGGCCAGGCTAGTCTTGAACTCCTGACCTCAGGTGATCCACCTGCCTAGGCCTCCCAAAGTGCTGGGATTATGGGCATGAGCCACCTCGCCCTGCCAGGAAATCCATTTTCTAAGTCCCAACTTTTA